ATGTTCAGGTGGCCAAATACACAGACTGAAGTGGAGATCTTATGTCTGGACCAAGAGTGCATTTTGAAAGGCTCGGCGACACAGAGCATAGAATGAGGAATAAAAAAATTACAAAAGACGCTCACTTGAATAGATGGAAAGTCAGCACTTCAATATGTATCACTTCTATATATCATAGATTCAGGACCGCATCTAACAAAAACCAGAGCTGACATCAGAGGAGAAACCCCATCGCAAACACCACTGCTCAAGCTCATTACTCCTGGCCATTTCTGGCAAATCTTTGTTTCCCACTTCTTGTCTAAAACACACTGTTTGCTTGGCAGAAGGAGGGAGACGTGAGAACCTCCTACAGCAAATGTTGATATAAAGGAAATGTCCCAAGTGACCGGTGGTATTTATCCAGGTATTATTTCTGCCACCTGCACGGAGTTTACCAAGTAGGTTGGGGGGAAGGGGGCCGTGTCACTCTCTTGTCGTTCAGCTTGAGTTGCCCGGATACCCCTTTTTGGATTCAACAAGGAGCAGAAATCTAATTGTCCCTCTCTTCACTTAAACCGTAAGGATCCCAAATTAGGTCATGTCTGTGAACCACATGAATGAACCCTGTACTCTGGAACTCTCTGTGTGGCTTGTGAGACCTGCCCTCTGAAACCAGAGGCAGCAAGCTTTGCAATCAAGATGTTCTGGGGTCTTGTCAAACACGGTCAACATTCAAGAGTTCTTCCCCCTTGGCTCCGTCTCGGGGCGCCTGGGTGGCTCAGTCGGTTGAGCGTCCGACTTCAGCTCAGGTCATGATCTCATAGCTCGTGAGTTCGAGCCCCGCGTCGGGCTCTGGGCTGACAGCTCAGGGCCTGGAGCCTGCTTCGGATTCTGTGTCTCCCCCTCTCTCTCTGCACCTAACCCACTCGCATTCTGTCTCTGTCTCTCTCAAAAATAAACATTAAAAAAAAGAAAACAAGAATTCCTCCCCTTGGCAGGCATCCATTTTGGCGTTCTCACTCCTACTTACTGATACCAATGAGCAGCTCTCTGAGTTCTGATTCCCTTTCTGCAGCCAAACTGCTGACTTACAATAAAAACACCCTCAGCATCGCCTGGGTGGCTCAGTTAGTTAAGTGTCCACTTCAGTTTGGTTAATGATCTCGTGGCTCGTGAGTTCTAGCCCTGCATGGGGCTCTGCTCTGACAGCATGGAGCCTGCTTGGGATTCTCTCTCTCTCTTCTCTCTCTGCCCCTGTCCCCCTCAACAAATAAATAAACTTAAAAAAAAAAAAACCACCCTCATAAACTGCCACTTGTGGGCACAATTGTCACTGCCCATTCACTTCAGAACATACTTAGTTTCCACGGACCAGAAAAAGAGAAACAAAGGAGGAAATCTGATGAAAATAAGCCCAGAAAAGGACACAATTATAAATGTATATAGGAGCAAACTTTAAAGCTGTAGCTACTGCAGAATCATAGGCAAATCTTAAAATAAGGTTTCTAACCATTGTGGAAATTGTTAAAGTTTCTTTCATGAAATCAACTTTTTTTTTTTCTTTAGGCTATATTTTCATATCATAGCATTATCACAACTGTGATTAATGAATTATCTGCATAATTTCTAATTTAATGTCGATCTCCCTGGTTATTCTGTGACTCCCTCAGGCGAGGACCTGACTGGTTTACATCCCAGCTGCCCTGTATATTATTAACTGGCACATAGGAGGGACTCAAAAAAATGTCAACACTAGCTTTGCGATAGCGCTATGATTTCATTATTTCCATGTGCCACCTGTTTCGAAAGCACTATACCTCATTTCCCAGGTTTGTCACCATGCTACAGTTATGCAAGATGTTACAGGGGTGACAGGCGTATGGGACCTCCCTGGATATGTTTTTTATTTTGCCACTTCCTGTGAATCTTTGATTATTCAAAGTCTTTGACTTCACCTAAACAGTGGAACTTCCATTTGCCCTGACGCCCACACACCACACGATGCTCCTGGCTTACTGGATTTCACCAGCGTTTTCCGTCTTTCACCAGCTCCAAACAATCCGACATCCTATATAATACCTAGGAGCTCATCCTTTCCTCCCGTGGACACTTGACACAGCAGATCATTGTGTACTACAGCGACCCTCCTGAGACAGCCAGCCAAAATGCCAACTATGATGGCGATTTTCATACGATTTATCCCTTTCTGTCTTCTCCACACAGACACCACCCAAAGTTGTCACATGGTAGTGATATTCAAGAAGAGCTAGCTGGAATACCAAGGGTCACGGAGAGATGTCATCATGATGAGCCAATCATCCCCTCAAGATTGTTGGTTGGCAATAAAATCCAGAACACGCGTGTCCAGGTTCCCAGTCGGTGAACCACACTCCTAAGAACTATGTAGCCACATCTGCGACAGCCTCACACTACACAAAGAATGAGGCCACCACCAAGCTGCCAAGAGCCTCAGAAAACTGTACAAAGTACATTAAAATCAACAGAAAGGCTTCCCATGTCACAATTTTTGGATAACTTCTCACCTCTTCCTCCCCAAAAGCCACCACTGGCTGAAGTTTGACACCACAGGCTTGAATCACACAATCAGATTCAAACTCTTAAATAAACCACTGAACAGACATTAACTTCCCTGTAGGCCTGGGAACACAATTCAGCCCTGCTGGGCATAAAGGGAGATTGAGTATGTAGGGGCAGAGCCGAGTCAGGAGAGCAGAGCATTCTCAGAAAGTGGGTTTACCAGCTGCCCACACCAGCCCCGAGCTCGGCCCACTCTCTGTGCTTCTTGGCCCTCCTAGTTGATGTCCTCCTCCAGGGAAAAAAAAACAAAGGGGGCCCACCTTAACACTGACATTAGTCTCTGTGGGTCAGAAAACAAGAGCTGTTCAGCTTTCCAATACCTTCACCAGCTCAAAGGCTCAAAGCGCTACCTGTCGTTGACTCTTGTTGTAAAGACAATAGCAAACAGCAGAAATTCAAGGGCAAACAACTTTGAGAGCCTCTCTAAACAGTGAGGCTTGGCTACCAGGAAAGAGAAAAAGAAATGAAAACTAATCTTCATTACATCCTGGACAAAAATGGCAGGGAGGGAGAGAGCCAAGAGAAGGAGAGAGAAATGATCGTCATTTAAAATGTTTTAATATGGCGGCACAATCAAGACTTACTTTCCCACTGCCAGGCAGTGAGTCTGGAGAGGGCCAGATGGCCCATTCTCTCACAGGCTTTTCAGCAGAAAAGTAATACCCATTTGTATAACATTTATAAATCAATAAAGTACTTGCACATGTGGAAACTCAAAGTCTCAGCAACCCTGAGCTATTATACCCACTTTACAGATGAGGAAACTGAGACTCACAGAGACAGAGAGTCAGCCGGAAGTGGCAGAGCCAGGGGCACAATGGGACCAGTCAGCTGGTCAGTAGAGACATGAAAGAAACAGCTGAGGACCATGCTATGCTATTCTTTGAGGAAAAAGAAATAAAGCATGGTCCCAACAGTTTTTGTTTTTACTGCCCTTGCCTTAGGAGACATATCTAGAAAAATGTCGCTTCGACCAATGTTAGAAAATATTGCCTATGTTCTCTTCTAGGATTTTTGTGGTTTCAGGTCTCACATTTAGGCCTTGAATCCATTTTGAATTTATTTTTGTGTAGGGTGTAAGAAAGTGGTCCAGTTTCATTCTTTTTTTTTTGCACATAGCTGGCTAGTTTTTCCAGCATCACTCATTGAAGAGACTGCCTTTTCTCCATCATATATTCTTCCCCCCCTTTGTCAAAGATTAATTGACCATATAAGCATGTGTTTATTTCTGGGCTCTCTGTTCTGATCCATTGATCTATGTACCTATCTCTGTGCCACCACCATGTTGTTTTGATCACTACAGCTTTGTAGTATATCTTGAAATCTGGGATTGTGTTACCTCCGGCTTTGTACTTCATTCTCAAGGTCATTTCGGCTATTTGGGGTTTCTCATGGTACATACAGATTTTAGTATTATTTGTTCTAAGTTCTGTGAGACGTGCTGTTGGCATTTTGGTAGAGATTGCACTGAATCTGTAGACTGCGTTGGATAGTATGGACATTTTAATAATATTCATTCTTCCAATCCATGATCATGGAAGATCTTTCCATTTGTGTCGTCTTCAATTCCTTTTATCAAAGTTTCACAGCTTTCAGAGTACAGGTCTTTCAGCTCCTTGGTTAAGTTTATTCCTAGGTATTTTATTCTTTTTGATGTAATTATAAATGGAATTGTTTTTTAATTTCTTTCTGCTACTTCATTATTAGTGTATAGAAAAGCTACCAATTGCTGGGTATTAATTTTGTTGTACAGCAAAGGAAACCACCAACAAAGCAAAAAGGCCACCTACTGAGTGGGAGAAGATATTTGCAAATGATTTATCCAATAAGGGGTTAATATCCAAAATATATGAAAAGCGTATACAAATCAACACCAAAAAAACAAGCAAACAATCTGATTGAAAAATGGGCAGAGAAACTGAATAGACATTTTTCCAACAAAGACATCCAGATGGCCAACAGACACATAAAAGGATGCTCAACATCACTAATCATCAAGGCAATGCAAATCAAAACCACAATGAGATACCACTTTATACCTATCAGAATGGCTAAAATCCAAAAGACAAGAAATAACAAGTGTTGGTCAGGATATGAAGAAAAAGGAATCCTGGTACATTGTGGGTGGCAATGTAAACTGTGGGGACCACTGTGCACCCATTGTGGAAAACAGTTTGAAGGTTCCTCAAAATATTAAAAATGGAAATATCATATGATTCCATAATCCACTACTAGGTTTTTACCCAAAGAAAGCAAAATATATATATAGATATAGATATAGATATAGATATAGATATAGATACCATATATAATATATAATATTTCCATTGTGTATGTATATACCATACATGTATATCCAATATATATATGTGTGTATGTGTGTGTGTGTGTGTATATATATATATATATACACAATGTATACAATGGAATATTACTCAGCCATAAAAAAGGATGAGATCTTGTCATTTGTGACAACACGGATGGCCCTACAGGGTATTACACTAAATAAAACAAGTCAGACTGAGATAGTCAAAAAGCATATGGTTTCATTCATATATGAAATCTAAAAAAAAAAAAATGAATAAACAGACAAAAAGCAGAATCAGACCTACAAATACAGAGAACAAGCTGATGGTTGCCAGAGGGAAAGGGTGTGGGGCGAATGGGCAAAGGGGAGTGGCAGTGGCACATTCAAGCTTCCCATTATGGAACGGATAAGTCACAGGGATAAAAGGCACAGCACAGGGAATACAGTCAGGGGTGTTGTAATGACCTGTATGTTAACAGATGGCAGCTACACTTGTGAACACAGCATAACGTATAGACTTGCTGAATCACTACGTTATACACTTGAAACTAACGCAACATTGGGTGTCAAGGATACTCAAATAAAAAAGCAAGCAAGCAAGCATAGTCCCCGGATGGGGATGAAGGGGGCTGGGGGATTCCTCTCCATCTTTGCAGTGGATCTAGGAAGCAACACTTCAGGGAGTTACTTTTATTCTTACTCTGACAATTCAAAGAGAACAGTGCCTAAGCTGATAAATTCTCATTTCAAAGGTGATTCATAGACTATTATCTCCAAAAAGAAATCCACCCAGAAACTTGAGATGAGAGAGTTAGGAACAAAGGGCTCCAGCTGTTACTTGAATCTGTCGGTGCCTCAAACGGGACAGCAGCTTAAACCAAAATATCAAAGGACTTTTTAAGGCCAGCAGCTCACCTTGAAGTGACTCCGGAATACGACCCCAGCCGCAGATGGAGACACTGGATCTCAAAGGCCAGGCCCACAGTGGCAGCAAGAGGTCAAGTCCACGATTCAAACCCAAGACTGTTTTCTGACTTTGCCACAAGGAAGGGCAAGCGAGGCACACCCTCTAGTGCAGGAAAGCAGCGGGCTCTCCACCCGTGCATTCTGAGGACAGGTAAGCTCTCACCTGATCTCGGAAGGTGGCCTGAGGGGGGAAGAGAATAAGTCGGTGGTGAATGTTGCCGCAACGGAAGAAGCAGGAGGAACGGGTTGGGTGGGACCAGGACTCTGCCCTCCGAGAGCGCCCTCTCCTGTCGCCACTGGGAATAAAAGTGCTTGGCCTGGCTGGGAGCGAATCCAACCCTCGCCAGTGCCCTGGGAACATACAAAAATAAATAAATCCCGAGGCTGGAGAGAAGGGACTGGGGCAAGATCCACCCCACCAGCCAGGTCCCAGGGAGACCCCACCAAGCTTCCACCACCCAACTGCTCCCCACTGCTCTGGGAGAGAGAAACAAACGCCTGTCTTGTTCAAGGAACGCAAAACACACACACAGGCTTGGGACGAGAGACAACACTCCCTTTGATGACATTTTGGATGATATTTCTTCCATTTCAAAATGCACCAGGAATTTGCTCTAACTCAATGCTCTGTGAGATAACTTAGGCTCCCTCAGTTTTCCCAGCTTACTTCTTCAGGAGGTTGGTTCCAGATTTCTCTTTCCACCCTAAACGTTGTAAGGAGTTAGGCCCATTTTGTTGACCTTTCCTTTTTTTTTTTTAATTGTGGTAAAATATACATAACATAAAATCTGCCCTCTTAACCATTTTTAAGTGCACAGGCCAGTGGCATTCGGTACCTTCACATGAGCCATCACGTTCCTCATCTCCAGACTTTTTCATCTTCCCAAACTGAAACTCTGTCCCCGTTAAACACAAAGTCCCCCATCCCCCTTCCCTAGCCCCCCACATCCACCACTCTACTCTCTGTCTCTACATGCCTGACTACTCTGGGGACAGCATATACAAGGAATCCTACAGTGTTCGTCCTTTCGGGTCTGGCTTGTTTCACTGAAAGGTGACCTCATAGTTCACCCCTGTTGTAGCATTGTGTCAGGATTTCCTTCCTGCATTTTTAAGGCTCAATAATGTTCCATTGTATGGATCTATCACATTTTGTTTACCCATCAGCCATCAATGGACACTTGGGCTGCTTCGACCTTTTGACTCTGAATGACGCAGCTATTATCCGAGAAAACTCCGCTTTTATTATTGTGATGTCACTGCCCAAGCCCATCTGAAGCTCGGGCCAGGAGTCCTTCTCAGTGGTTTCGAAAACCCCCCTCCCGTTCTGTGCCCTCCCCCACGTGATACCCAGCCCCCACCACAAAGCCCAAAGCAATCAGAAAACAAAACTCCACCCTCACACAGTCCAACCGTCACACACACCCCATCCCTCACCCACCCCAACTCTGACACACCCCAACCCTCACATACCCCAACCCTCATACAACCCAAACCTCACAGACACAGCAACTTGACATACCCCAACTCTCACAAACCCCTTCACACATACACCCAGTCCCCACACAGCCCCGGCCCCCCCCCCCTCCCCGTCTCTAGGGACTTTATGGGCTGGCCTCCAGCCTACACACAAGAACCACAGGGACTTCCCAGCCTTGGGGCATCATTCAGGGAGCCCCAGCATTTCCATTTCTGTCTCCCTCCCTCTCTTAATGGGACCGCATAGTTTTGAAAACAAAATGACTCCTGCCTCTGCCACGTGAGCGAGGGCACCTCCAGGTCTCCTGGACAGAAATCCCTGCTCTCACCTTGGACACTGGAAGCAGGGGGAGAAAGAATTCCTGTAAACTATCCTGAGTTATAAAGGTTTTTGCATACTAACCCCAGCCTCTTCAGACCTATTTTTATCACATTATGTTCACTTGTCATCCAAAAGGAGGACTACGCATTTTAGGGGCGCCTGGGTGGCGCAGTCGGTTAAGCGTCCGACTTCAGCCAGGTCACGATCTCGCGGTCCGGGAGTTCGAGCCCCGCGTCAGGCTCTGGGCTGATGGTTCGGAGCCTGGAGCCTGTTTCCGATTCTGTGTCTCCCTCTCTCTCTGCCCCTCCCCCGTTCATGCTCTGTCTCTCTCTGTCCCCAAAATAAATAAACGTTGAAAAAAAAATTAAAAAAAAAAAAAAAAAGAAAAACGCATTTTAAATATCCTAAGGTTTTCCTGCTGTCCTTGGGCCATACGTGGTACAGAAAGCCTATGGAGAGAGCTGTTAAGGAAGGAGATGGATCTAGATGCTGTTCTATGGATTAGGCAGAAACAGGCTGTGCCAGTCTCATTCACCAGCTGTTTCCCCAGTAAAGACTACAGGTATGTAGTTGGTGCCCAATCAGTGACCATTGAATGAGTAAGTGAAGAGATGTTTAAAGTCAATGGAAGGTGAAGGGAGAGAATGGGTGCCCCCTTGAGTGTCCATCTTCACCTTGAATCAGCCAGGGTAAAAGTGCTGCTTAGCAGTGGGAGCTTTGGGGAAAACCTAGAGTCCAGGGGCTATTTAGTCTTCGCTCACCATAAGAGGTTGGGTCAAGGTGAAATTCACAGGCAGGAAACTCTGGGTGCACCTGCCCGGCTCATGGACCTTAAGAAGCATTCCCTTAAGCTGTGGCTGCATGAGACGCAAGGACAAGAGTAATGAGACTCGCACAGATGCTCCTGAGCCCGGAAGGGCAGTCTAGTCTTTCTGGATCGTCTTGACAATGGGAAGTTGCTGCAAATTTCAACCTGCTTGCTTTCCGGCTTCTGAGCTCCAGCCCTCTAGGGAGGTGGATTCACCACTCACTGCACCAGTAGGTAACCCACCCTGTACCTCCAACCTCAGGCAGTTCAAGCATCCGTTGGTCAAAGTAGGGAGAAGGATGCTTTCCCACACCTTTTCAGGAAGATTGGGGGAAAAGGTTTTTCTGCTAACAACATATGCATATTGGCTGACTTTACCAAGCCTGTGGTTAGTTACAGCCACAGATTTGGGCAAGATTTGGACACAAAACAAAATGACCCAGCTGCTAAGACCAGGGCTACTTCTCAACAGGGCACTAAAGAAGTAAATCTAGTACCAATCAAGTTGCTGATAAAGAAACCTGATCAGAAACAGCAGAAAAGATGCTCTCCTCTGTCTCTGTTAGATGGGCCCTTTTCTGCAACCAGTCTGTGTTTTTGTCATGAACCAGTGCATTCAGCTGTATCTCAGAAGACCCCCACTCTGGGCAGCAGTATGCTTGAACTTGAAACAGGAAAACTGGAACCCATCCTAGCAGGAACCAAGAGGTAACCTACAAGGAACAACACAAAGCTGTTGACCCACCTCTTGTAGAAAGCATTGTTCCCGGTTTATTTAAAACACTAGGGCCACTGCAGAAATAATTACGCGTACTAACCATACTCCTCCTCACTTCAAGTGACCTCTTCACAGCAACCGAGACCCAGGAAAAGTCTGTCATTAAGGTTCATAAAGAAAATATAGGTGTATCAACATTGAGGTTTTGTGGTGAGCTGAGAAGAAGCCTCCCTAGAGTCTGCTGGTTCTATCTCACCAAGCTATTTTCTCCCAACATGGCTGTGGTCTGGTCTTCAAACAAGCTGAAAGATAAGCAAATACCCTTCCTCTCAGCTTACATTTGACTGCCTTCAGCATCCAGCGTGTTTCATGAATGACAACAATATAGTAGAAAGCCACAATTCACCCACACTCAACCACAGAACTCCCATCTAGAATAAACCAGAATTGGGGCAGAGGAACCCATCCAAAAACAAAATCAAATTTGATTGAAAGGTGATACAACCAGCCTCTTTCAGCTACTGATCATTCTGAAGTGGGAAATATGAGAGTTAGGGAAATCACATGACTAACTCAAACCACTATAAAGTCACAAACCATGTCTTAGAATCAGAAACAAAAACTTGAGAATGGATTGCTAGACAAAATCTACACTGTCCAACTCAGTACCACTAATGACATGCAGCTGTTTAAATTTAATTTTCAATTCATTAAAATGAAATAAAATTTACAATTCAGCTCCTTACTCTTGCTAACCACACATTTCAAGGGCTCAGCGGCCACATATGGTTAGTGACCACCATATTGAGCAGCACGGATATGGAATATTTCCATCATAGCAGAATGTTCTTTTAGACAGCACAGGACTACACACTAAGAAAGGAAAAAAGAAAGGGAATTTAAAAAGCAATAAAAGAGTTCTCCTCAAAAAAAAAACGAAAAACAAAAAAACCAGAAACCTAAGTATCCACCATGTACCTATCTTGTGCTTCCTGAAGGCATATTCAAACATAATGAACACATAGACGATATGAGACTTTAGGGCTACATAGACCAACGATGTTCCATAAAAGCTAGAAATGGTATATGTGCCATGGGTATTTTTGTAATTGTCATTAATAAGCTGAGAGCAACCCTTTCAACAAAATGTTAGTTGGTGGCTTCATGCTCATTTTGTTGATCTATTCTTCTGATTTCTAGTGGAACAAGTTTAGATCCTCCTGAAAAGGAACAGGAAAATATCCTACTTCCCACTTCTAGAACACATATATTTACTAGCCCTCTTCTTTCCATAAATGTGCATCATAGATTAGAGTTTTTGTTTTTGTTTTTGTTTTCAGGAATTTCCTTAGCAGAAGCCTCTGCCCCATGACCACCTTGAACGCCAGCTTTGGGGCAGTAGAGAATGTCACAGTCAAGGTTCCTTGCACAACAAGCAACAGAAACCAATCTGTCCTACCTTAATTAGAAAAGGAAAATTGTCAAGACGGATTCCAGAATACTTCATGAAGCCTAAGGATAATGAGGCTTCATGAGACACTTCAAGACCTGACAATCCACTGTCTCTGTCTCAAATGTCTGCTTCCCTTTGTCCAACTATGTAATTTCTTGCTCTCTTCAGAACTTCATTCTCTGCTTCTCTTCTCACAGAGTAGAAAAGGGCCACCCCTCAGCTCTAAGGAGCATATGTGGCCACCTCATGACTCTTGAATTTCACATGTCCCTTGGTACTTAGAATTTCAGAGACCCAATTCCAAGAGCCCAGGAGAACTGATTAGCTCAGCTTATCTCTCAGTAGTCCAAACAATCATGGAGGGAGAGTGGAACCATCTAGAGTAAACATGTCAGCAGCAGCTACTGAGGTACAGAAGAGTGGGAAGCAGAGAATTCTCAGGGAGGGTGCTCTGAGCAGTGATACCAAGGATGTAAATGGGAAAAAATGTGAGTTTAAGAAACTAAAGGCCACCTAATAGATACATTCCAATAACCCAAAATAGTATAATACAGGATGTCTATAAAATCTG